AGACAGACAGGAAGACAGACAGGAAGACAGGCAGACAGACCGGAGGGAAGGAGGAAAGAGATTGAGAGAGATGGAGATTAGGGGTTGTACGTGGGGTGGTCAACATTGTTTTCGGGGGGGGGGGTGCAGTGCAAATACAGTTTATGAGACCGAGCTTTCTGGTAATTCAAGAGACAGGGCATTGGCTTGGGAGCTGATCTAACATATGACTTAGATCGGTGCCGTTACATTTTCCGACCAGATATGTCAGATTCTGGTACCATGTCGTGAATGCCATGTCATCGCAGGAACACGTGAAGGTATGGGACAGAAACAGAGTGTTTAGTTGTTTCAGTGCCAACAGCGCCGTGGGCAAGCGGACTAGGTGTGTTTGTTCCAGGAATAAAGACCTTAACTCGTGGAGGTTAGTGAAAGCGTCGTCTGCGATTGTTTTGATTGGATTTTCTGATAAATATATGGTCTCTAATTTCGAAATGTTGTTTGAAAATTTTAGTGAGGGAATTACTTCTATGTCGTTGTCCGTGATTTCTAGATGAGTCAGCGATGAGGGGAACAGGAATTCTGCAATAGATTTTATTTTATTCATGGATAGAGTTAGAGTGTACAAATTCGGTAAATTTGATATAGATTCTGGAATAGTTGTCAGTACGTTTGAGGACAGCAAAAGCGAGATCAACGACATAGGAAACGAACCCGAATATGGAGCTGTGATATTGTTGGAGCTCAGATCTAAACTTTTCAATTCAGACATAAATAAAAGGTCGGGTATTTGAGTAAGGCAGTTAGAATAGAGATATATATATGTCAAAGACATTTCGTGGGGTATTAGGGCGTAAGGTATGTGCTTGTGATCACATATTCTGTTACTTGATACCCACAGCTTTTCAATGCCATTCAAATAAAACAGAGGACCAATATTATCTATGTGATTCGAGTGCAGATTTAACTCTGACAAATTGCGAGAGAGTTTTAAATCTTTCAGGTTGCTGAGATCGCTAATTGAATTTGACATCAAATCGAGGACGGTCAAATCCGGGAAAAGCGCCACTTCCTGTGGGATTTTCGTTAGGTTCGAGTTTCGGAACTCCAGTCTTTTAATATGACTGGCTGATGGGTCCAATAGCGTACTACTCAGCTGACTGAAATCAACTCCTTCTATTGTAAGGGTGTCCAACTTTGACAGTAGCTCAAGCCAGTCTGGAAAGATTGGCATCGTCAGTCTTGAAAGACGTAATTCTTTCAACGATGCTCCAATGCTCGCCAAAACGGTTGTGTTCCATGTCAGAACAGGATTATTGTCCAAATGCAAGCACACGAGAGAACTGAGATCCGTCAAGGCCCATGGCAGGGAGGTCAGATTGGTAGACGAGAATCGGAGGGACTGAAGACTCTTGGCAGAATAAATGAAGGCGTGATCTGCGACTGCAGTAAGGAAATGTTCTCCGAAATACATTTTTTGTAAATTGTGTGCCAGTTCCCAATCATTGATAACGGAAATATTGTTACCCTGAAAAGACAAAATAATATAATCAATTGCAAGAAATATTATTGATGGGTGACATACTCTTTTAGAGGGTTGTCAGTTAGTATATATATATAATATATAAATATATATTATACTAACTGACGATATATATATATATATATATATATATATATATATATATATATATATATATATATATATATATATATATATATATATATATACGGTAGTAACATAATCAATTGGTAACTGGTATTGACTGCTTATTGGAGTGACCAGAAAACAGCTACGCAAAATATAATCGATTGATAAATAGTGCACTGCCTGTTGGAGCTGTTACCTGTTATAGATATTAATTGATAACTAGCATACTGTTTTCTGGAGTTATCAATTGCGGTGCCACATACAAAGAATATAACATGTATTACTTTTGGAGTAAACGGTACCGTTCTGCAAGGGTTTCAGTCATATCTTAAGTATCGAACACAAGCAGTTGTGGTTGGAAGCACGCGTTCAGATAATATTTTGCTCAGATTTTGTGTTCCTCGGGGGTCTGTTCTTAGACTTGTTTTATTTGCAAAGTATACACAGCCCATTGCTGATATTTTAAGACAATATGGCATGAATTACGATTTCTATGCTGATGACACTCAGATTTATACGTCTATTGATTTCGATCAAATATAGTGTTGAGTATAAATACAAAAGCCATTAGAAATCTACCAGAACTACAAATTGACATCAATAATCTGAATCATACAATTCGTTCAAAAAGAACTCTGAAAAGTCTAGGGTTCAATTGGATTATAATGTCTATGTCCTCCCAAATTGGCCAGATCAGCAAAAGTATCTCTATTCACCTTTTAAAAATTAGCAGCGTACGGAATTATTTAACTATAGCAGCAGCCAGGACATTAGTAACAACATTGATTTGATCAAAATTGGATTTTTTGAAGAATCGAAATAAAGATATTTTTTTCCGCTTTGACGGTCAAAAAACTGTTTAAGTCAGAAGTACTCCAAAATCAAGCAACAAACGTATCAGAGCACGAAACACCAATTCTGAAAGAACTACACTGGCTGCAAGTAAAGGAAACGATAAAATACAAAACTGCTGTTTTCTGTTTTAATTGCCTAAATGATACAAGTTCTGGCGTGTGTATGTCATGAGACTGAAGAAATAGCGTGTGAGAATGAGAGAGGGGGGGTCCGAAAGAGAAACACAGAGAAAGAGAGAGAGAGAGAGAGAGAGAGAGAGAGAGAGAGAGAGAGAGAGAGAGAAAGAGACAGACAGACAGACAGACAGACAGACAGACAGACAGACAGACAGACAGACAGGAAGACAGGCAGACAGACACACAGACAGACAGACAGACACACAGACAGACAGACAGACAGACAGACAGACAGGAAGACAGGCAGACAGACACACAGACAGACAGACAGACACACAGACAGACAGACACACAGACAGATAGAGGCGGACAGAGAGAGAGAACTGAAATGTTATTCTATCCATAGAGAACGAATGTTTTATCGAATGTTTTGTGCTGTCTGTAGCCATTCAAGTTTCAGTTTTATTGTGACCATTGGTGAGTTTTATTAACTCATTGAAGACGCACATTCTGGTCATTCCAATGTCTGAAAAAGCCTAACTTCATCATCCATACATATTTTCTCAGTATATTTTCTTTTTTTAGAGCCTGTTAAACGTTTTTTTTAAATACATGTATACTATGAACTGTTAAATCTAGCGTTTCTGGTTGGTGTACGTAGGTTCAAAATGAGCTTCAAAATTGCCTTTGTTCCGTTTCTGGTCAGACAAATGTGTCTGATGCGTCCCTAAAGAGTTTAATACTTTATTTTTTAAGGAACGAATTGCCAAGCTCAATGCGTGATTAATTTTCTCATAGAAATGTGTTATACATATTATTATACATAGGCTATGGTCTACATACTACTATGTTAACGTACACTCATGTCTGTTGATTTTTAAAATGTGATATTTTTGTGAATGTAATGCGTATTCAGCTTTTTAATAGGAAATAGTAATGTGCGTCAAAAAAGCCATTAATTATCATTGTTATTGATACTTTGATAGTATAGATCTACGTCGTTTATTGCAGTTATCAATTTTCACATACACTCAATGTTATCGGTTTAGGGTTAATATTTTAGCCTACTATTCATTGGAGCAATCGTTGACCACATTATGTAAAACACATTTGAGGGAAAATTATTTAACAAATATACCGTAGCACTTTCTAGTGCCCACATTTGCAGGGATTTTCACCTCTATATCATCCCGCCAGTTATCTCTTAACTAAACGCAATAGGAAATCAGCGCGTGTGTTTGAAATGCTGTTAACTTTCAGAGATTTTTTAAATTTTTTTGCCATGCGAAAATCGAAGCTAAACGACCTTGCTAAGATAGTACTACAACTTACTCTACTTAAAGCCTTTGAACAGACGAGTGACCGGGAAGAATCAGAATAGGTTTTTTTTCTTTTTTTTTTAATTTCTTTTTTATATCGCCCTTCGAGCAGAGAAAGGACTGCCAACCTGGACGCCATAAAGCAGTGTGTGGCTTTAACATTATTAGTGTAAGTGCATTGAATGTTTAAAAAGTTCACCTCTCCACTGATTTTTGCGTACTATTGGCTTTCACTTTGATCTACAAACCCAAACAGTAAGCTCCCGTTGAGAGTAGCTTGTTCCGGGTTTCAGGGGTGGCATCTTATCCAGGTCTTTCCTACTGCAATCAATAACACGGTCATCACAGGAGCAAAGCTGGGGATTAGACATGTGAGATAAACACGTCATACCCCAGGCAGAATAAAATACATGTAATGCTTCACGGACTTAAAATTGTAGAGTTCAGTCTCCATAAGGTATGTACAATGTACTGTAGACCGGACATTTCCTGAAAGTTACACAATGCAAAGATTGCAGTAATGTTTCAATAAAAACAAGGGAAGCAAATTAACAATAATAGGGCAACAGATTGTCTGTTAACAAGTACAACTATTTATTAAGTGAGTTGGGAGTGGAGATAAAGGGGGGGGGG